TCGTGTCTTGGGTCAGTTTTGGGTATAGTAGTGTCTTGGGTCAGTTTTGGGTATAGTCGTGTCTAAGGTCAGTTATGGTCGTGTCTTGGGTCAGTTTTGGGTCGTGTCTTGTGTCAGTTTTGGGTATGATCGTGTATTTGGTCAGTTTTGGGTATAGTCGTGTCTTGGGTAGGTTTTGGTCTTGTCTTCGGTCAGTTTTGGGTTGTGTCTTTGGTCAGTTTTGGGTATGGTCGTGTCTTGGGTCAGTTATGGTCGTGTCTTGGGTCAGTTATGGTCGTGTCTTGGGTCAGTTTTGGGTCGTGTCTTTGGTCAGTTTTGGGTATGGTCGTGTCTTGGGTCAGTTTTGGGTATGGTCGTGTCTTGGGTCAGTTATGGTCGTGTCTTGGGTCAGTTTTGGGTCGTGTCTTGGGTGAGTTTTGGGTATAGTCGTGTCTTGGGTCAGTTTTGGGTCGTGTCTTTGGTCAGTTTTGGTTATGGTCGTGTCTTGGGTCAGTTTTGGGTATGGTCGTGTCTTGGGTCAGTTTTGGGTATGGTGGTGTCTTGGGTCAGTTTTGGGTATGGTCGTGTCTTGGTCAGTTTTGGGTATGGTCGTGTCTTGGGTCAGTTTTGGGTCGTGTCTTAGGTCAGTTTTGGGTCGCTTCTTGGGTCAGTTTTGGTTATGGTCGTGTCTTGGGTCAGTTTTGGGTATAGTCGTGTCTTGGGTCAGTTTTGGGTATGGTCGTGTCTTGGGTCAGTTATGGTCGTGTCTTGGGTCAGTTTTGGGTCGTGTCTTGTGTCAGTTTGGGGTATGGTCGTGTCTTGGTCAGTTTTGGGTATGGTCGTGTCTTGGGTCAGTTTTGGGTCGTGTCTTGGGTCAGTTTTGGGTCGCGTCTTGGGTCAGTTTTGGTTATGGTCGTGTCTTGGTTCAGTTTTGGGTATAGTCGTGTCTTGGGTCAGTTTTGGGTATAGTCGTGTCTTGGGTCAGTTATGGTCGTGTCTTGGGTCAGTTTTGGGTCGTGTCTTGTGTCAGTTTTGGGTATGATCGTGTATTTGGTCAGTTTTGGGTATAGTCGTGTCTTGGGTCAGTTTTGGTCTTGTCTTCGGTCAGTTTTGGGTCGTGTCTTTGGTCAGTTTTGGGTATGGTCGTGTCCTTGGTCAGTTTTGGGTATAGTCGTGTCTTGGGTCAGTTATGGTCGTGTCTTGGGTCAGTTTTGGTCTTGTCTTGGGTCAGTTTTGGGTTGTGTCTTTGGTCAGTTTTGGGTATGGTCGTATCCTTGGTCAGTTTTGGGTATGGTCGTGTCTTGGGTCAGTTTTGGGTATGGTCGTGTCTTGTGTCAGTTTTGGGTATGATCGTGTATTTGGTCAGTTTTGGGTATAGTCGTGTCTTGGGTCAGTTTTGGTCTTGTCTTCGGTCAGTTTTGGGTCGTGTCTTTGGTCAGTTTTGGGTATGGTCGTGTCCTTGGTCAGTTTTGGGTATAGTCGTGTCTTGGGTCAGTTATGGTCGTGTCTTGGGTCAGTTTTGGTCTTGTCTTGGGTCAGTTTTGGGTTGTGTCTTTGGTCAGTTTTGGGTATGGTCGTATCCTTGGTCATCTTTGGGTATAGTCGTGTCTTGGGTCAGTTTTGGAAACGGTCGTGTCTTGGGTCAGTTATGGTCGTGTCTTGGGTCAGTTTTGGTCTTGTCTTGGGTCAGTTTTGGGTTGTGTCTTTGGTCAGTTTTGGGTATGGTCGTGTCTTGGGTCAGTTATGGTCGTGTCTTGGGTCAGTTATGGTCGTGTCTTGGGTCAGTTTTGGGTCGTGTCTTTGGTCAGTTTTGGGTATGGTCGTGTCTTGGGTCAGTTTTGGGTATGGTCGTGTCTTGGGTCAGTTATGGTCATGTCTTGGGTCAGTTTTGGGTCGTGTCTTGGGTGCGTTTTGGGTATAGTCGTGTCTTGGGTCAGTTTTGGGTCGTGCCTTTGGTCAGTTTTGGTTATGGTCGTGTTTTGGGTCAGTTTTGGGTATGGTCGTGTCTTGGGTCAGTTTTGGGTATGGTGGTGTCTTGGGTCAGTTTTGGGTATGGTCGTGTCTTGGTCAGTTTTGGGTATGGTCGTGTCTTGGGTCAGTTTTGGGTCGTGTCTTAGGTCAGTTATGGTCGTGTCTTGGGTCAGTTATGGTCGTGTCTTGGGTCAGTTTTGGGTCGTGTCTTGTGTCAGTTTGGGGTATGGTCGTATCTTGGGTCAGTTTTGGGTATAGTCGTGTCTTGGGTCAGTTGGGTATAGTCGTGTCTTGGGTCAGTTATGGTCGTGTCTTGGGTCAGTTTTGGGTCGTGTCTTGTGTCAGTTTTGGGTATGATCGTGTATTTGGTCAGTTTTGGGTATAGTCGTGTCTTGGGTCAGTTTTGGTTATGGTCGTGTCTTGGGTCAGTTTTGGGTATAGTCGTGTCTTGGATCAGTTTTGGGTATAGTCGTGTCTTGGGTCAGTTATGGTCGTGTCTTGGGTCAGTTTTGGGTCGTGTCTTGTGTCAGTTTTGGGTATGATCGTGTATTTGGTCAGTTTTGGGTATAGTCGTGTCTTGGGTCAGTTTTGGTCTTGTCTTCGGTCAGTTTTGGGTCGTGTCTTTGGTCAGTTTTGGGTATGGTCGTGTCCTTGTTCAGTTTTGGGTATAGTCCTGTCTTGGGTCTGTTATGGTCGTGTCTTGGGTCAGTTTTGGTCTTGTCTTGGGTCAGTTTTGGGTTGTGTCTTTGGTCAGTTTTGGGTATGGTCGTATCCTTGGTCAGTTTTGGGTATGGTCGTGTCTTGGGTCAGTTTTGGGTATGGTCGTTTCTTGGGTCATCTTTGGGTATAGTCGTGTCTTGGGTCAGTTTTGGATACGGTCGTGTCTTGGGTCAGTTATGGTCGTGTCTTGGGTCAGTTTTGGTCTTGTCTTGGGTCAGTTTTGAGTTGTGTCTTTGGTCAGTTTTGGGTATGGTCGTATCCTTGGTCAGTTTTGGGTATGGTCGTGTCTTGGGTCAGTTTTGGGTATGGTCGTGTCTTGTGTCAGTTTTGGGTATGATCGTGTATTTGGTCAGTTTTGGGTATAGTCGTGTCTTGGGTCAGTTTTGGGTCGTGTCTTTGGTCAGTTTTGGGTATGGTCGTGTCCTTGGTTAGTTTTGGGTATAGTCGTGTCTTGGGTCAGTTATGGTCGTGTCTTGGGTCAGTTTTGGTCTTGTCTTGGGTCAGTTTTGGGTTGTGTCTTTGGTCAGTTTTGGGTATGGTCGTATCCTTGGTCAGTTTTGGGTATGGTCGTGTCTTGGGTCAGTTTTGGGTATGGTCGTGTCTTGGGTCAGTTTTGGGTATGGTCGTGTCTTGGGTCAGTTTTGGGTATGGTCGTTTCTTGGGTCATCTTTGGGTATAGTCGTGTCTTGGGTCAGTTTTGGATACGGTCGTGTCTTGGGTCAGTTATGGTCGTGTCTTGGGTCAGTTTTGGTCTTGTCTTGGGTCAGTTTTGGGTTGTGTCTTTGGTCAGTTTTGGGTATGGTCGTATCCTTGGTCAGTTTTGGGTATGGTCGTGTCTTGGGTCAGTTTTGGGTATGGTCGTGTCTTGGGTCAGTTTTGGGTATGGTCGTGTCTTGGGTCAGTTTTGGGTATGGTCGTTTCTTGGGTCATCTTTGGGTATAGTCGTGTCTTGGGTCAGTTTTGGATACGGTCGTGTCTTGGGTCAGTTATGGTCGTGTCTTGGGTCAGTTTTGGTCTTGTCTTGGGTCAGTTTTGGGTTGTGTCTTTTGTCAGTTTTGGGTATGGTCGTATCCTTGGTCAGTTTTGGGTATGGTCGTGTCTTGGGTCAGTTTTGGGTATGGTCGTGTCTTGGGTCAGTTTTGGGTATGGTTATGTCTTGGGTCAGTTTTGGGTATGGTCGTTTCTTGGGTCATCTTTGGGTATAGTCGTGTCTTGGGTCAGTTTTGGATAAGGTCGTGTCTTTGGTCAGTTTTGGGTATGGTCGTGTCTTAGGTCAGTTTTGGGTATGGTGGTGTCTTTGGTCAGTTTTGGGTATTTCCTAGGTTTAATATGGAGATTAATTATATTTAATTATATTAAAACATATGCAACACATTTAATTGTACCTTAATGTAAATAACAATGTGTTCTCATAATATTTGGCTTTATTTTCAATACAGTCAATGATGTTATTGCATACAAGTATAAAACAAGCAAGCATGACGATGAATCATATCTCAGTATTGAAATATCTTCATTGAAATTGGTCCATAGTTAAAACTAGCATTACAACTAGATATGATTTGAATCTGACCCAGAGGCGTAGCGACCCTTCCCGGCGCCCGGGGGCAAACGTTTCGATTTTTGCACCCCCCCCCCTCAAGATTTCGATTTGCACCCCTCTCAAACTTTCGATTTGCACCCACTCAACCTTTCAATTTATTTTTCCAAAAAATATCAACATGGGAAGTTAATACAAGACTGGTAGTCACACACTGCATTCAGAACAAAGTGGGTTGAAATCATAAGATTCTTACAACTCCAACAAATTCATCACTCACAAATACTTTAATGTTTTAGTCACTCACTGCATTCAGATCTAATAAATTCATTCACAATTCTTAAATTCATTACACAAAAACTGTGTTGAAATCACTCATTCATAAGATTCCACAGCTACAAAAAATTCATCACTCATACATAATATGTAATATTTTAGTCACCATGTGCATTCAGATTTAATGAAAATACATTCATCACACAGACAAAAAGTGTTGAAATAACTCAATCATAGTTCCAACAAACGTATCACACACAAATACTGTGTAATATTTTACTAACTCACTGCATACAGATTTAATTCATTCATCACACAGACAAAAAGTAATATTTTTTTACTCACTCATTGTGTGATATTTTATTCAGTCACTGCATACAGACATAAAAAAATATTAACATCTTTTACTAGTATCATTTTGTCTACTTGCTGTCACCCAATATTGACAAACAAACCAAATTACTGAAACTGCTACTAGAAACAACACACCCAGTCAAATCTACAGATTCAGTGTCGTACATTAAGCCACATATACATCTTGTTTTTATGTCACATATGTTTAGTTTGTCACACACATAATCTCATATTCATTATATTTATAACATCTCGCATTTTAAAACTTCACATATGTTCAGTATGTCAGACACACATACTCTCACATCCACCAAAATATCTCATATAGATCTACATTTTAAAACACACATACTCTTACATCCACCAAACTACCTCATATAGCACATTTGAAATGTCACATTCAAGATTTCATCACATACATACTTTAAGTCATGAATTTATATTTTAATTCCACACATACAATTTCACAACACATTATCTTACGTGTGTCACAATTAATCCTTGATATTCATGGAATGTTTGTCAAGTCAACTAAAGGATTTTTCATCTCGTCCAAGTAAATTTAGGATTTGACCTCGGAAAATGTTTATAGTCCTTCATATTGCTCGAGAAAAACACTTTAAAGGATTTTTTTTTTACAATTCAAAATATTACATGAGAATCTTTTAAAGATGTTCAAAGTATCCTACACTTTTTGAACTTTCTCTTGCCACTTTTGCTTATATTTAAGGCGTGTCTGGTTGCTACTTCAAAAACTTCATGAATTCCATTCTTCGTGTGAGCTGAACATTCAACATAAGCGGCTGCACCAATCCTGATAGAGGAGAGAAACAGATTGGATTCATTTCAAAAGTTATCTTAAAATGTGTAAAAATAATTGCATATTATAAAAAGATAAATATAGATAAATTAAAAAATAAATAAATCAGAAATGTTTCTATATTCAAAAATGTATTTTAAAATAAATTATCTATACCCTCAAAATAAGAAATTTGAATTCCACTTCCATTGATGGTTTAATAAAATGTTTAAAGAGAATATTTTTCCTTTATTTATGATGTTCTAAGTCCAAGGGACAGAACTGTGAAATGAACTCTAACCCAAATAACTTGTCCTAACCCAAATTGTTAATTTTACAAGTAGTAGTCATTAGTAACTTATGGAGATATTTGTCAACAATATAGATCAAATAAAATCATCCGTTTTTTTTAAATCAACAGCACATGATTGTATTGTGTGGCCAGTGTTACGTACAAAGCAGTCCAGGAACCCAAAACAGCTGGATGAGCTCAGGGAGACATGTGAGTTAACAACTGAGTTGTCAACACTACCTCTCGTGGAAAGTAAGAACATTTACCACATATAACAAATATAACAAAACCCACTGAAATATCATGCAAAGAAATTGTTTGTACCTATCTGCCATGGCTCGCCCCTCCTTAGCCTTGACTGGACTTTGTTTGGATCTAGCCAGGTTCTCAATGGTCCGTGGGTCGTTGCGCAGGTCTTTCTTGTTGCCAACTAGGATGACCGGGACATTTGGACAGAAATGTTTGACCTGCATGGTGGACAAAATCAGACATCTTTACCTGGACATTTTCCTCAGGTGTGTTATTTTAAGGTGGCGGGGAATTCAGTAACTGGTTACTTTTAGCTCTACAATGGCTTTCAGTGGCGTAGGCACAAGGCCATTAGGGGAGAGGGGGGGGGGGAGTTTGTAGTAAAATGTTTAGAACCAACATCATAAAATCCTACCTGTGCCACTAACACCCATCACAAGTTTAAAGTAGTTTATAAATAGAATAGTTGACTTACAACCTAGATTACTTATTATGGGTACTTAATTCAGTTCTACAACATTAAACTTGTGGTGTCTAGCTCTTTATGGGTACTTTTGTCAGTTTTACAACATTAAACTTGTCAGGTCTAGCTCTCACTTAAAGTACACTGGAGGGGCTTAAGTCTTCAGCTTAACACATCTGCTGTGGTCTAATATTTCAATGTGATCTTGTGGTTGTCTGTTTCTACCTTGGTCAATAGCTATAAGTTTACAATAGCTGTAAGTTAACAATAGCTGCAAGTTAAGGTGAGACAGCTTTACCAACAAACCACCCCCCCCCCGCTCACACTGCCTACGCCACTGCAAGTTTCACATCGCCATACACGTTTGCACTGACCCAAATGACGTCACCGCCTACCTCTGGCGTCCAATTGTGCAAGACGTTCTCCAGACTGACAGGATGGTCTATACTGTAGCACAGCAGAATGACATGTGTATCGGGGTAGGACAGGGAACGTAACCGGTCGTAATCTTCCAGACCCGCCGTGTCCCATATTTCTAACTCCACCTAATTACAGAAAGAGGAAAAAAAAATCTTTGCATAAATTTTATGTTTATTTATTTGAATTATTGTTGATGTTGAACTAATTAACCCTTTAAGGCGTGAATTAAATATGAGGTAGTTGTCGTGGAAGATGCAGGGTTAAATGGACCTTTACACGATTTTGCTTCTGCGTCACGTGATCCGGAGAGTCATTTTGTAAACACGGCCTATGCCCGCTATCTTTCCATTGTCACATCGACGGTGTTTTTAAACTGTTTCCCAATATTTTCTATTACTCAGGGGCGGAACTACAGTGCCGCCAGACCCCGCATTGCGGGGGGGGCCCACGCCATTTAGGGGCCCATCGCCGACCATAATAAATTCTTTATAGTTAAAAAAAAATAATTTTCTTGCATTTTTGACTTGACGGTAAAAGCTTTTGTAAATAAAAAACAGATCTACTACAGTAGTGATGCTATACAGTAGCTAACACATGCTGTTGCGTTAAAACAAACTATATGCCTGAGCTGTAGTGATAGGCAAACGTTCAGAACACTTCCATGACTTATTTCCCTTTTTTAAATAGTAAAATAGGGGTGCTCATAAGCTCCTTTTAATATATTTGTACTAAACAAAAGAAAAAGAAATTACTTTTCTTAGTTATTATTTTAGAAAAAAACATACTAAATAATTACATAGCATAAATTGGAAATATATTTAAAACAAATAATATAAATATAAAAAAAACATAAAAATAAACAACACGAGAAACCATTACACATACAAAGCTTTCATGTTTTATATTCTTTTGACCGGCTAATTACTGTGAGTAGGTAGGATTACAGCAAACATTCAATAAACTAGTTCTAAATATAAAGAAGAAATACAAAACAGACTTACGCACTCACACACATAACATGTTGTAATTTGTTTAAATTGAAAAAAAAAAGACATTTTTTTTTCAAAACCCGATCGGGCAAGAAATGAGTATTCAGTGTTTGTATTCTGTGTTTGTGTGTGTATATATATATATATATATATATATATATATATATATATATATATATATATATATATATAGGAGGGGGGGGGGGCAGGAATTTTTTTTTTGCGGGGGTGGCCCTTTTTTTCTAGTTCCGCCACTGCTATTACTCAAAGTTATTTTTAAACACTGCACATAAATGTGTAAATAGATCTGCACATTGGCCATGATAAATCAAGTTAGTTATCAAAGTATATTTAATTAATAAAATTTAAATCGCTGGCTATGCTCGACTGAGGACGACACAGAGACAAGGTTTCAAGTAAGAATCTCGATCTCGATCTAGATCTAGATCTAGAACTCAAGAACAGTGTTTCTTCCAGACTTTTTTCTCCGGGGGGGGGGGGCACTTGAAATTTTCGGGGGGGGGGGGGAGGGGCAGTAGACTTTCTTTGGTGGGGGGGGGGGGGGGGGGGGCGGACACTGTTAAAAGTATATATTTTCTATATAAATTATATACATTTCATTTCGTTGGGGGGGGGGGGGGGGCGGTAAAAAAAATTTCGGACCGAAGAGATGCCTGGAAGAAACTTTGCTCAAGAATGCCTACAAATCTAAACATGTAAAGCAGGGGTCTCCAAACTTTTCAGTCCGAGGGCCGCATTAACTATCAAATTTCAGTTAGGGGGCCAGGTTCTTTCAGACATGTCTTTGGTTTTTTCTGGACAAAGTTCCTCAGCCATCAACAACAAACGTTTGTTCCGTGGACAAAAGATCTCCGCGGGCCGGATGAGAGGACATCGTGGGCCGGATGCGGCCCGCGGGCCGTATTTTGGAGACCCCTGTTGTAAAGCAATCCCAAAAACTGAGATGAAGCAAATCTTATTCTGTGAAGGTTAAGAAAAATTAAAAGGTAATTATTTTTTTTATTTTCTAGGAATAGTATTATTACCGATAACCTACTAGATCTACTAGTCACTACCAGTGTTTCTTCCAGACTTTTTTCTCCGGGGGGGGGGGGGACTTGAAATTTTCGGGGGGGAGGGGGCGGGTTAGACTGCTAAAATTATATATTTTCTATATAAATTATATAAATTTCATTTCGTTCGGGGAGGG